TTTTTTGCGTGGATAGAAGGTCACAGATATTACGTCTTTTATTTTTACACTATAATCCGTAATGCATCTATGCGCACAATCCACTGGCAGCAACGCATTTCGTGCCGGCTGGACACTTCGAGCAAGTCGTGCCCTGGGCGTAGGCTTTTTGGCCGACATAGTTGCCCCTGTAAATGGATAGCTACGACTTATGAGAGAGAGAGAGAGAGAGAGAGAGAGAGGGGAGAGTGAGAGAGAGCTCCCTTCAACTTACGGTGGCCAATAACGGCAGACAACAAAGTACGATTTGTCGCCAGTGCAGTACTGATATCCACACCCAACCGTGGTAGTAGTCGCCCAGGCCATCTTTAAAAATCATATTTTTGGACCATGGCTTTTAAGAACTTAAAACTACAATGCCCACCTGAGTAGCATGTCCAGTATTCGACGAGAAGGTATACCCAACCGGTCCGTACGTGTAGAACTTCGTTGGACCAAGCGTTACTGGCGGCGGTAGCCTTGATTTGAGATTAAAATCAAGTGGTTGCTAGTACAATCTTACCAAGTCCTGCCAGCTTCCCGCCCCAGATGATGTACAGATTCTCGCCAACTCCAGCGGCTCCGGAATGCTTCAGGCCGGGGCAAGTGTTGGCGTAGGTTGAGGCGCCGTTAGCCAAGGTTGCGTTCCAGGCCTGGAGTTCGAGTAGTTCAGAAGGAGAAAGAGAGAGAGAGCGAGAGAGAGAGAAAGAGAGAGAAAGAGAGAATGAGGGAGAGAAGCGAAGCTGCACCTACCATTCGCCGCATATTCGTCGCCTTGGCGAACACCACGCCAGCTTTCGACTTGTATGTTCCTTTAGCCAACTTTGTACGGAACGTGTTGTGCGTCTACAGGGTGGCGATTAATTACCTGCGCGTCACTTTTTTCCCCAAAAATCAGGCTATAAATTTTCTTTGATAGAGTGGTTTTACTATATTAGTGGTTATATAGTTGCATCCTATCCAAATTTTGACCGGGTTAAACAATCACGAAAAACTACGAGCTAACAAACATAAATTCCGGCTTCCCGGCGCGCATCGTGATCGCATGGTCACACTTTTGAAGCCTACTGTAGCGCCATGGGCAGGAAGCTAATCTTTTTCTAAAACGGCTCCAGATATGTTGCACACTTCTTTTCCAAACGTGTTTGCGTTCGAAAACCGACCTAGATCCAAAGATTAAAAAAGATACAGTATCGAGGACGGCATCGGTCAAATGGAAATAAAAACCGCGCTTCCTTTCGATATTACGCGTGAATTTATCGGTACGATATGAGAAAATATGTACAATCCTTACAACAACCATATGCCAAAAGTTCTTGGGTTCATAAGGCTTTATCAAGGAAACTAGAATCCAAAAATGCTAGAAATTGTTGACCGATTTTGTGCGCCGCCGCCGCGGGCTGTGAATTGATGGCATCATTTTTGGCCCAGGACTTCCCCAAAATTCTTCAGAACGGGCCTCAATTTAACAATGCGTCCTATCAAACCAATAAGAAGAAGGCTACATCAACGAAATTGCACTTTTCCGAAAAATGCTCTTTTTTTGTGCGGTGCTCTGCATTCTGGCCGATTCGGCTCCAGGCGGAAATTGGTCGGAGAATTTTTGTTATTTGGTAGGGCTAGGGCTCAATAAAAATGCTTTTAATGGATTTGAGCATCTGGAGGGTAATTGGAAACATCGAACTAACAATAATTTGAGGGCATTTGATAACCTATCAAACTGAATAAATATCGGGCCTTTTGATCGGTATATACCCACGGCGCCTCTCTTTTTTGCTCGACGACTTCGGGCTGGAAAAAAGTCAGGGCCACTGACTAAATTTTTTCTGTACCTAAGTATTAGTGGGGGGCTATGCAGATGGATCAGAGATTGCTTTAAGGAAAATTCGGAGCGAGCGTTTTCTCTCGCGCAGGTAATTAATCGCCACCCTGTAGAAATTTGAATCTTAATGAAAACTGGCAACGATCTTGCTAACCGAAACCTAATGACTTACAGCAAGAATTTGGGCTTGTTGAGCAGCCGGGAAAACGACAGCAGATGTCACTAAAAATATTATTTGAAAATTTAAAGCAGCCGATTTTGATTGATTGATTCAAAGGTTTGATTTTCAAGCACATCGCTTTTTTATACTTCTACTTTGAAGCTATAGCACGAAACGATATGTTAAAATATTTTT